ATAACTCTGATGCAACTTGTAATTTAGAATAATTCTCACATCCATCCCATAAAGGTTCATTAGCATCTTCTAACATATCACATATCCCCTTAGTGATTAGATTCAGAAATTCTTTCATTTTATCCACCAACATATGTGTGAACCCATTCACATCATCATCTTCTATCGGATTTGGATCCTGCATCAGATTAGAAAATTGTACCTCATGCTGAAATATCATATTTCTTCCACCATGTGCCCACCAAGTTGTGTAATTAGGAGTGAAATAATTTTATAACAAGTGAAGCTCTACCCCAATTCTTGTTTATTATGCCTATTATTACATTTAAAATAAGGATATCTAATATAATCCCCATCAATGGTTGGTTCATTAGAAAAAGGAAAAATCTAAAAGGCCTTTGATGGATACATGATATGTTGTGCTAGGTTACCTATGATATAACCTTTTGTACATCCAATCTCTATCACTGTGCATTCACATAATGACTAGCTACAACCAAATATATATAACTACTATTAAGGCCTTGGATAATGTCTACATGCGTTAAATTAGGGAATAAAGTAAAAGGGTAAATTACACAGATGGTCCCTATGGTTTAGGGTAATCTGCGTGTTTAGTCCCTAAAAACTTTTTTAACTCGGACCATCCCTAAAATTTTAATTTTTTGCATATTTGGTCCCTCTTAACTTAAAAAGACAATTTTACCCTTATAATTTTATTTTTAGAATTATTTTATATTAACTGTTTAAAAAAAACTATTTAATAAAAAGTTCATGTGGGTCCACCACCAAAACCCACTCCGTTTACATCTCTCTCTGTATTGGATGTTCGATCCAGTCCCTCACCCTTCTTCTTGGCTGCCTCACTCCTACCTCCTCCTTCCTCACTGCGACTTGCTTCTCATCATTTATCCCTCCTTCATCTTCAACATCGCGTTGCATCTCCTTCCTCCCTTTCTACTGCCTCTCTCTTTCTTGCTCAAATATGATAGACGAAGCATCGCCGAGAGGATCAACAATTATCGGACCATCAGACGCCCTTAAACCCCTGGACCAGCGACCATTCCTAAATTCACCATCGTGAAATCAAAACCCTGGATCGTGGTTTCCAGTGACAATGTTGCAGAAAAGATCTCTCCACTTATTACCGTCAGCAAATGAAAGACCACCCACTAAAGTCCCTACTTCAGTCCTCGTCCACCATCACTGGATCCTAGAACCCTTCACCGTCATCATCAATCTGGAGAAAGAAAAAGAAAATGAGAGAAGAAAGTAACAAGAGGAGTCTAGAGTTCGGTGGTTGGAGCATTGTTGCATCGTGAGAAAGAAAAGAGAATGAGATCTGAGACCCAGATGGCCCGGTAATGGTAGATTCTGTCGATTGGGTTAATATAGTTCTAGCTTCTCTCCACTTCCCTCGTTTTCTCCTCTCTCATCTATTAACGAAACTAAATGATGAAAATGTTTTTCTGGGATTTTTTGGATTTGATGGCATAAGGTTTGAAGTCTAGAGCATTGAATTCACCGATTGGATTGTAATTGATGTTTCATCAGATTCTGTGTGATGTTTTGTGATTTGTATTACATCAAATTTTCTTGTTTTGAATTCAGTTTCATCAGATATAGGTTTTGGTTGTGATTTTTTTTCTTCACAAAATTGATTAGTAGTTATGAGCTTGGTTATGGATCTTACAAGAAACACCTAAGGAGGTGAGCAAGCAGGAAGGTGGCTTTTTGGTCGGAAAAGGATGAAACGGAGTTATGGGTGGTTTGCCGGAGAAAACGAGGTTGTGGGTTGTTTACTGGAGAAGAAGGGGGTGGGGGTGGGGTGGGTAAAGTAGTAATGGGCTGGTGGGATCCATCAAATGTTAATATTTAATTAATATCCTATTCACATTTAATTAATATTCATTGATAATTTAAAAAAATAAAAAAGAAATCAGCAAGGTATATCAGTCTTTTTAGAACTAATAGGGACCAAGCGTGCAACAAATATATAAATCAAGGACGGTCCGAGTTAGAAAAAGTTCTGAGGGACCAAACACGCAGATTACCCTAAACCATAGGGACCACCCGTGTAATTTACCCAAAGTAAAACTATATAAGTTTAATTGATTTGTTTTGGTTAAACATTCAATAAGTTACTTCCATAAGATTTCTATAATTAATTATGGTTAGATATTTAACTAGTTATAACAACTAACAAATACAAACTAATATAATATATAATTATATTTTCATGGTTCAGACACAACTCTGATCTAAAAGATGAAAATTGGGGAAAACAAAAAAAAAATCATCACACCTGATGCATAAAAAAGAAAAAAAAACGAGAACAGAGGGTGGACAATTTCTCATTTCTCTCTTAAACTACGACTAAAGTAGGACCTGAAAAAAAATTCATCGATGAACTTCTTCACTCCCACGACCAACTTTAAATAAATATGTTAAATTAAATATGAGCTACCACATGAAAGATCTATATGTTCAAGCGTCATCATAGCATGATATTTCTAGATAATATACGATCATAAAGGGTCACACTAACATCAAATCGACAAAAATATATTATTTATAAGAATTTGATCATTAATAAATACGTATAAATATGGTAATTAGTTAGAAATTGTTTACTTCATTAAAATATTAATTTTCAATACTAAGTATCAAAATAAATCATAAGGAATGATTTATATAAATCGTGTATATTTTATATATATATATATATATATATATATATATATATATATATATATATATATATATATATATATATATATATAAAGGTTATATTATATAAACTTTATACATATTCATATGATTTATAAATAAAGAAAAGAAACTAAAAGCCATATACTCATCCAATTTGAAAGACAAATTGCAATGACTAGTTATATCCTTAATGCTTATTTTAGTAAGAGGAACATGCTTTTGAAGCGTTTGTTCTCTTAATGATTAATTCATGGACATGATAATGATAATACACGAAAGTACATGAGTTTATATATGAGGTTGTCTTTCTTTTATATATAAAACTTATATATATATATACCTTTAGTTTCTAGATACATGTTGTCTTAAAGCATCATGACACATTAGGTAAGGACTTCTTATAAAGGTGATTAAATGGTGTTGTATGGTTCATTACTTGGCTAGTGAATTCTTTTCTCTACTCTTTCTTTCACTCTTGAAGGGTTAAGCACTTCCATGAAAGAATGTTGATACTTTACTTCAACTCTCATTATGAAAAAAAACCTTTGTTCTATTCTTAAAGACTTTACAGCTTTGTTACTACGTGAATAAGACTATCATGTTATCAAGTTGAAGAACTTTTAGTGTTTCTAACTAAGGTGGAGTTCTACTCTATATTCTTCATCAATTTGAAATCTCCCAAGAGGAACCAAAGTCTTCAAAAGTTGTAATATTTTTTTCGTATGGCTATGTTAATCTTTTCATGTTGCAAAATTATCTTTGATGGGTTAAAATAGTTTTAAGTTTATTCATCAACTTTAAAGCTTCTGTTACCATTTTTACCATTTATGAAACCATATTTTTGAATAAAAACCCAACTATAGGTATCATAGCCCTTGTTGCAAGTTTGGTCAGAATATTAGATTATTTGATATAATCTTTGTTTTCATAAAACATAAGTGGTTTTCTTTTTGAAAGTTAATATACGTAAATATTTTCTATAACAACTTTAAAATGTTTATAAGTGTTATGTGTATGACTAGAAGTTTACATGCATCTTTTCAATCATAAATGTTGTCTTAGAAAAACAAAGTGTTGTTTTATATATTTTTGAGTGTGTGTGTGTGCGTATATATATATATATATATATATGTGTGTGTGTGTGTGTGTGTGCATAAACTACTCATGACTCATTTGTGATGTTGTTTGTGTAAATTTGTTAAAATAGTTGTAATATTTATTTATTCATATGGTATGTAATAATTAACTAGATTATGGTTGGTTTATGCACATATGTTTTTATGCTTTGTGATGCTTGTTTTATGCTTATATATTATGCATGTTTTTAAAATGCTAGATAATATTTTAAAACATAAAAGTGATAACATGGACTTTAGATTGAATAAATTTTGTCATTTACATAAAATATAATAAATTGTGCCTTTATAATAAAACATTTTTTTTTGTAAAAACGTTAATTACACCAATTTTTGATGTTTATTTTTTTTAATTTAAAATTGAGATTTTAGGGACTTATCAAAATCCAAACTTTGTTTTATAAAATGAAGTTTTATTAAAAGATTTATAATGTTTTCTTTAGCACTCAAGCGATCAAACTTAATAAATAAAATATTTATAAAGTTTTATTTAGTGCCCAAACGATCAAACTTAATATTGGTTATTAAATTTAAAATTTGATCATATCTATAATATAAATTTTGAATTTTATAAAAGAATATTGTTAAAATGTGATTTTAAATTAAAGTATATCATGAATTAATGGATGCATGCAATAATGATTATATAATATGTTTTTTCAAAACCATAATTATACACTAGTAGAAAAACAGTCTTTTACAAAGCGCAATGCGTGTCATAAAGCGCTCAGACGGCGCGTAAATGCGTGTTAAGAAAGGCCTATCATAACGAGAGACAACACACTTTTGAGCGTCGTCTATTTACGATGCGTATTTACGACGCTTAATTACAACACACAATGTGTATCAAGGAAGACCCTATCATAAAGGAAGACGAAACACACTTGCGTGTCGTAACCTTAAGACGCGCGTTTAGGACACGCATTGCGTATCATTAAAGCCCCTATCATAATTGAAAATGACATGTATTTGCGTGTCATAAGTTTAAATGTTTTGAAAATATTTTTTTTTATAGAATTACTAATTTTCAAATTAAACAACATATTGAAATTATCATAATACAAAATAAAACACCATTCATAAGAATGATAATTTATTTTAAACAAATATCACATGTCAAACAAGTTACCTAACATTGCATGTCAAACAACACTACATGTCAACACTAATAACACTTAAAAACATTCTTTTTCCTACATTTGGAGCACCTACTATTCCTATATCAACAACCAACTTTAGGTCCAATTCCAACCACCTGTAAAAGAACAACATTGTAAAAGAACAACATTAGAAGATCAACATTTGTTTGATTTGATGATTCAACATTAGTTGCCCTTGGACATATTCCTGTTAAAAAGATACATACGAGAATATATATATATATATATATATATATATATATATATATATATATATATATATATATATATATATCTTATGTGAAGGCAAATTGAGTTAATTTACCAGCATAAATATGTATGTTAATGTGCCTTGGGATACTTCCAATTCTAATAGGACTATATGCCCTAGGATGTGCATTTGCATGACTATCAAAAAGAGAATTGGTTTGTAAAGGAAAAAGGTGGAAGGAGATTGTGGATTCATTATTCATTAAAGAAACAACCATATTGGTACCTTCTCCACTTAACCTCTTTAAAAAGGTTCTTTTTTAAAACTACAAACAACATATAAAAAGTTAGTTGCAATCATTGAAAAAGGAAAAACAGTAATTGTGAATGATGACATGAATGGCATATTATAAGCAGTTTTGCTCCACCTATGGAGTCCAACAGCTCTTCAACTTTGCTTGTATGCTCTAAACAGAATATTCTAGGTCTTAAATACCCATTACACATGTTCCATCCATTGTCAACATTCACTTTAGATGAACATGTTGAAGCTTGAAGAGACTCATCCTTGGCATCATCCTTCATTGGCATGTAATCAAACAACACTTCTAGTGATGGTTGTATATTAGACATGAAAGGATAACCCAAAACACCACAAGCTACACATGGTAATGTCCATGCCATTGAAATACATTTAAAGAACATCACTAATTTACCCTTCTTGATATATTTGGAATTATTCTTTCTAGCTTCATATGTCAAAAGACTTATAAAGATTTCTAGCTGACCTTGGAATAAATGACATGGTCAGCGGGTAAAGCAGCTCTTGATGTGAAAGCATAGGAAGAAAGTTTATGGCAGCTCTGCTCACTACAGCCTCTTTAGCTACTGAAATCCACTTAGAGGTTTCGAAATTAGCAGCTTCCCCACAATTAAAACCTTCAAAGACAGTGATTTGATATTAGAGTCTATAAAAGTATAAATGTTTATCGAATAACCAAACATTTTATTTAAAATGTAGCAAATTAAATGTTACAAATTCCATAACACGGAACAAACTACAAGGTCTTTATCTACAAAAATCAACAAAACATACAAATTGCAAACAAGAAATAAAACCTCAAATTTTCTTGCATCAAAGTTCAAACACTTACACACAAAGAACACTAGTAGTCTATGGAACAGCCTTGTGATATTCTACCCACACCTCTTAGTATTTTTGTGCATATCTGGATTCGTCTCTTCTCTCTCACCAGATCAGCAGAATCAGAAGATAAATTGGATAAAAATATGGAACTCGAGAACTGCAATCACATGCTTCATATTATAATATCATATACGGTAGTTGACTTTCCAAGTCAAAACAAATAAATTTAAATTTAAGTAGAATGGTATAATAAAGAAATAAACTTAAATTGTTGCAAATTTACCTAATCCCATAGGGTAAGCTGAAGGATAGTGCCAATAACAGATCTCCAAGGTAATTGCAGTGCCTTTCTATTCCCTTTCAAAAATAATAATTAAAAAAATATATTATTGTGCATTTAAAAAGGTAGTAGGAATGAAACAAATAATGATTACAAACTAAAATACTGATGAAATTGAAAACACATACACATGAAGCATTATTTCATAAAAGTTGAAGAAATTTCTTCAAACATTTTTATAAATCAACGTAAACTGCAAATAATCTCTATAGGGGTATTTTAAAAGATATGGTATTAACGTCTATAAAAGTATAAAATATACCATGGCTGGATCCTATGTGATAAGCCCTTGAAAAGCTCACTACAAATTCACTAGGGTTTTGTACTTACCTGCAAGCATGAAATAGAAGAAATTTCTTCAAACATTTTTATGAATCAACTAAACTACAATGATATAATCAATGAACTGGATATACATGAACACACTAGTAAAGTCAGTAAAAATCAGAAAGCAGAAGGACCAATTTTGTAATTTATATAAATGAAAAAATGTAGAAAAAACCAATTTTGTAATTTAATCTTTATGATTGAATTCATTGAGATTCAAATTCTTTAACATTTCATCCAGATACTCTTTCTTTCTCATGTAACACCCTTGTTTCTAAAGTAGACTTTAAAAGCTTGTTCAGTAGACTTTTCTTTTTGGAAACCTGTAACTCAACTCTATTAGGTCTGTTTCTTCTCTAGATTGAATAAACAGTCTCAAAGAGACTAAAATGACCATTTTACCCTGAAACAATTAATTCTTCCCAAAATGACACTAAATGCATTCGATTAAAGGGTAAAAACTTACGTGCGGAAGGTCTTTTTTCATCATCTCTGCAAAATATGTTTCATTTTCACCCTCATTAATATAGTCAAGCTCCTTAAAGAAACATGCAGCCCATTCATCAACTAACCCAACAACATCCAAAGATATCTATAAATTGAAAGAAACAAATAGTCAAATAACATTAAGCACTTGTTTTCTAACCTCAGATAATCAGGAAAAACAGAACATGTTATGTGGAGCTGAATTTTGACATATATTACCTGAGGAAAACGTCGAAGAGCCAATCCTAAGTTCCTTATGATGAATAAAGCAACAGTTATTGTTTCAAGTACATAAGGCCTTTGTACCTTAACAACAACCAAATCCCCCATTTTCCTTTAATATACCCTTATACACTTGCCCAAGTGAGGTTGTTTCTATAGGAGAAGTTGTGAGCTTTGAACTAACTGAATTCTCTTGATCAGCTGATAAATATGCCTCATAAATTGACCCTTCAGATGGTAGCACAAAGAACTTTGGTGAAAAGGGGCATAGAATCAAAGGGAAGTGATGAACATAAGCCATCAATTTAGGTCCTCCATCATAAGTATCTTTAGAACTAGAAAAAGGTTGGGATTTAGGGGTACCAGCTTCACGGGGGGTAAGCTACAACCACCCTTCATCTTCAAAGATGGGATTCTCCTTAGGTTTGTTGCTATTTTTGTGTATAAAGTTTTGATTGTTTTTCTTCTTGAGTTCCTTGTAATCTTAGATAAGTAAGATATGATATTCATGATAAGCATATGGTCCTAAAGGTGAATCTGGGTATGTTGAGTGACCTATCTGCAATAGCAAGAAAAAATATTGAAATTGAAGTCCTTTCAACAATAAGATATAAAGGCAGAAAGGATGATGATCAAGTGAAGTTATCAAAAGTTGTGATATATCTAATATTTGGAATCATTAAAGAAAGAAACTTAAGGGTTTCCTTAGTTGGATGGAATTTTGGTACTCTAAGATTGCATTTGTTACACTACACGTGATGGAACAAGTTTAATAATGAGGGTGAGGAGGGGATTCACATCTTTATCAAAAATATATCAAAGCAGGCATCAATAAGTTCGAATAATTACAATAGCAAGGAAATATATAATGATAGAATAGCACCTCTGAGATATATATGTATATCGTGCACTGGGAAACACATTGAAGTGTGGTTAGACAATGTAAAATGAATCTATGTGCATCACTTAGAAGGCTACAAGTGAATAATACTACTTTTGTGAGGTCATCATTCTTCTGATTCCAATCAATCGCCTAAAAACAGAAAGCCAAAAGAGTCATGGAATTATTCTTAATGTCCAAAAGTATTACCATAATAGAGAAAGGGAAGGAAAAGAAAGCATGATAATAGTTCCAACATTAGTCAGGGCATTAGCACCATAGCCTCTTCTAGAAGTGTCATGGCAATGTCTGACCTAATGCTTAATGCTTGCCCATGTTTGATGTATGCAGGACCCAAAGAGGTTACAATTTCCCTCAACTCAATTGCCCGAGAAACTTCATTCTGATCAACATAACAAAAAAAACACAGAAGTAATAATAAGGGAAGCAGAAAAAACTCACAATCCATACATGTACATATCGATTGACAGTTCTAACTTCTTATTTATAAAAATTAAGAAATTATTTAAATGAAGAAAAAGGGATGGATTGCGAATAAGACCTCTACAAGGCGAAGTTCGACATCGTCGGCAGCAAAATTAGAATCGTTTAGATTTTAAAATGAAGAAAAAGTGATTTTGATGGCTCTTGACGTTTTACGATCGGCTGCCTTGGGCTTCGGTTCAGTTGCAAGAGCATGAGTCACACCATTCCATCGCTTAACCCTAACAATGCTCGGAAAGGAATGGCGACCGACGGTGAATCTGGTACCATAATCGTTAGAAGCTAACGAGAGAGCGGCTGCTTCCATGGCGGAATTTGCGAGACTTTCCATGGGCATAGTGAAATCGTTACCTCTTACCAAAACGCCCAAATAGTGAATTAAATAAAGCCGATTAGGGAAGGAAAGATGTGAAAGCGTAAAAGGCAAGGCTTAGGATTTCGGTGGGTTTGCTAAAATTAAAGAGTCGGAAAAATTATAAAACGGTGACAAGGTACACCAGAGCACCAGCACCAACACACTCGACAATGTGGCATTTTCTAATTTTTTGGGTTTCTAATCAAAGAAGGGAGGTCGAGAGATGTTTTCAGACTGAAAGCAGAGACTAGAGGGCCAAAGAGGAGAGAATCACAGAAGGCGTGAAGTGTGGATTGAGTTTTTAGGGTTCAATGGTGGTGGCGATGGCTTATAGTTTACAGAGAGAAGTAAGGAAGATACAAAGAAGGAATGGAGATACAAAGAAGAGAGTATAGAAGCAGAAGCGGGGTAGTTCAAAATTTGAGAATTTGAGAGGATTTTATTTTCCCCCGTTAAAAACGCATGTTCCAGTATAAAAATTATAAAGCGACACTTGGAGATGACACATATTTAAAGATAAGCGCCTTCTGTGGTTGTATTTTTTTTCTTTTGGACATTAATTTTAGGGCACGCAAAAATGTGTGTCCTCTATCCTTCAAATTTTGCGAAACTGACATTATTTTTTAGGGTATGCACAAATGCGCGTCCTCTATCAGCGAGTGTCATTGTTTGTGTGTCATTAAAGGGCTGTTTTCTAGTAGTGATATAAAAATCAAAGACCCCTTGTGAAACATAAGTCTATACGGTCCACTTTGGAAACACTCACACGTCATTCATATCATCCTTGTAGGATAAAGGCCACCAAACCACTTGGATTCATTTTTTGATCGTCGAGGTATTTTCATACTTTCTAGTAGGATAAATGATACCTAACCACTATTTATGTGTCAGTTCTACATGTCGTTCCAAATGGATGATTTGATTGGAAATCTATTGTGATAAATGTCACCTAAGAAATAAAGATCTGAGGCATAGATGTGATCAAACATGTCTATTAAAATTTTTTATTAGCTGATACCTAAACGCTAGGAATTATATATTAGAATATAATTGATAATATGTATCTACCTACTTGGATTCAGATGAATGAGATAAAGGTCACCTAATCAGTTATTTGTTTTGCAACATGAATCCAAGACATTAATAATTAACGCTTTAAGAAACTAAAAGGGTATTAATTATTGAAGGTTTAAATATTAAAAATACTGAATGAATTTTGTTAAATTGTAACTTAAAAACAAAATCCAATATCACTACCATGCATCCTCAGCTTTCACTTTCTGAAATAATAACATTCATAGAGGCTATATTCCTAAACCACTTGTTTTGAGCAAAAGACCAGAACATGATACCTAGTAGTAGCATCATTGTGATGTGACATTCCCCGTTTTTTAGAACAAATTAAAAAATTTCTTTATGCTTTATAAAATTGAGATGTAGAAAATTATTAGTTAAACAAAACATTTTGAGATAACAAACGTTATTTCATTTTTTTAAAAACCTTGAGGATGTAATTGTTCATATCCAAACATACATTACAACGTAAATATTAAAAGTTCTTGAAACTATTAGACACATCTCTTTATTCCACTCAACATCCTAACTAGACTACAACAGCCTTAGTTCCACTACCTGTGATGCATAAAAATGAGTGGGTCAGGTTTGGAAAAACCTGGTGAGATATGTAGGGTTTTCAAGTCCATAAAAATTTTGATGACAATAAATAATATCATTCCTGCAACCAATGATGTCAAAATTATATATATGGAATCTTGACCGAAGACGAACTACCCAAACCAACCGATCCTCACAGATCATAAAGAATCCATTATATTTAAGAATCACCCAACCTGATGAATCGTTAGAGTAATGGATTGACTACACAACTAGAGGGTGTCCTTGGCCAATGTAAGTCGTATAAGGCAACCAATGTTCAAAGATTCAATAAATATGGTATCCCATTTTATCTAAGCCATGTGTTATAAGTCCATTCTAGCAACATAATTCACTACACGACCTAGAATAGTCAAGTGTTTTCATCTACTCTAGTCGATGACCCAGACATACTTACCAGTTGTCTGATCTGGAGCCACCATTTCTGGTCATCCAAGAAAGAGGAGAAACACTCCGATCTAATTTGACACACCCTACCCCAATCATCAGACCTAATTGATATCTAACTTAATTTCAACTAAGTTTCTTTTAAAAGTCTTATTCTTAAACCTAAGGCAAGACTTATAACTAGGGCAATCGATTTCCAATACGGTTTCTAATCCAATAGTATTATCCTAATTATACAAATAGCATATAGCACAGATAATACAGGAAAGCATTTATTGTCTCATATAAATAGTATTTTTAGTGTATAGAGATAGGTGAAGCGGGTAGAGCTTCGCCTTACACATTTTCCAAAGGACCTCGATGTACATAATGTTAAGTCTTAGTCTACTATCCTAAGGGTTTAGATTCCTCAATAATCCCAAAGTCTACTACAATATCTAAATAAGGAATAACCAGGTAGGATCATATCGGATGTAGGGTATGTTTGGTATACAAAGTATAATGTTTGGAAATCCCAATTTAAACACGTCACTAAATCCAACCTAGGCATTAGTCCCATAAGTAGATCAAGGAGTATAACGAATTGGAATCATTGATAAATCTTACTTATATGTTCCTAGTAACGAATTATAACTATGATTATAAATTACATGGAAACAGAGTAAGTGTAGCTCAATTACAGAGTACTATAGACGAGAATCAGGATCTACACGATCAGAATACTGAATCAGGATCTCCTACTCAAAGGCTACTACTCATATGAGTACTCAGGGGCGTTGCAGGGATTCACCGCAGAATAGAAATAAGGAAAATTAGGCTAAATGTCGAGAATTCCATAGAGAAATAGATTGAGATGATGTGAGGAGAGATAAACAAATGATCTGCTATATATAGGCTGAATTCTTGGGTTGCACGCTGTAACACCCTGTTTCGAGTGGTTTCATGATTCGGGGTCGTGACACAAAGATTAAGTATCATAAGGCTTTGGTATTTGGGTAAATAGAGGCTTATACCCATTTAGAGGTAGGTAATGTGGATTATGTGATCCAAGAGTTTCGTTTGTGCTTTAGAGAACAAGGGTATAATAAAAAACATGGTGTTTCAGACTTCTTTTATAAATTAAGGGTTTTAGTTTGATGTGATTGAATTTAAAAGTAATTAGATTGGGTTGAAGATATCCTTAATACCTTTGTGTGGATATAAAGATCATCGAAATCGTAGTTAAAACGAAGAAGTTATGACCGTTTGAAGTTAGGATGGTTTTGGGTTAAGCCGCGTACACTCGGCGTACTAGGACATATGATGGGCGTACTAGGGTATCCCTAAGTATGATGGATATACTAGGAGTACATTGGGCATACATGATAAGTGCCCAAACCCTATTTCGTTGTTTAAGCCATGTTTAAGGTCCTTAACTTCCTCAAATCCATTCCATTCTCAGCCTCCACCTCTCCAATACCCTCCCTTGAAAAACCTAACCTAGTTTGAGCCTTTTGAGCAAAAGAAGGTGTGCTTGAGTGCTTTGGAGTGTTCTTGGTGCCTCTTGTAAAAGAAGGAGCTCTTCATGGAAGTGTTGGTTACATTGGAGCTTGTAGATTGAGACTTTATTCACCTTGATCTTTCTTTTGGAGGTATAAAGCTTGAATCTTGATGATGCATTTATTAGGTCTATCTAGTCATGGGTGTTATGAGCTTATAGTTAATTTAGTGCATAAGTTGTAGATCTTGAAAGTTTGTGACCTTGTTATGGATAAAGTTGGAAACTTTATGCATCTAAACATCATATTGATTTAGATCTAAAGGTTTGAGACTCGGACTTAATGGATTAAGTTGAAAAAAGATGCTTTTTTATCCATTATGAAGCTATTAGGAACCATAAAAATGTAATCTTGGTCCTTAGTTCTCCTTCATGCATGTTCTAGGATGTCTTAATGAGTTAAGAGGTTAGGGTTTTTTGTATTGATCACTTGCTAGCCATGCAAAGTCATAAATGTTGGAAACTTTATGACTTAAGATGTTATTTCAGGACTAGATCTGCCTTTCCTCGAAAATAATTAATGGAATAAAATCTTAAAAAGAAGAAGTGAAGTTAGCCAACACACGTTGGCGTACGCAACGCATACACGATGAGAGGCCCGATTGTGGATCTTAAGTACACCAAGTGTACAAGCTGAGTACGCTGGGCGTACTCAGCTGAGTCAACTCAGATGACTTTTGACCTTTTGACTTTCGACTTGACCATGATTTTGACTAAGTTGACCCAAGGGTATTTTGGGTGTGTTAAGTTGTTGTCTTATTTCTGGTAATTATTTATCGAAATGTGAGGGATAGAGTTGGTATTTGGAGTAGCGTGTGATTGCAGCTATTTCATCTGGCCATGAGGTGAGTCTCCTTACCGTACCCGTTGGCCAAAGGAACCAATGTCGGCCCACTAGGATTTGTTATGTTAGTTATCTTTGTGACTTTTTCATGGTATGTTGGACTAGGCCCATTGTATGATGGGGTAGGCCCATTTGTATGTTAGGCTGGTCATATATATCAAGAAAGGCTAAGCCCAATGTATGTTATGTAGTATGCTAGTTGTCTCTATGACTCTTACATTTGTATGTTGGGTTGGGCCCATTGTATGAGCGTTACACCCATTATGGAGGGTTGGGCCCAATATGAGGGATAGGCCCAATGGTATGTATGGTATGTGGTATTTTGGGGAACTCACTAAGCTTGTGGTTATATTTTATGGTTATGGTTTTAGGTACTTCCGATTCGAAAGCGAAGCGCTTGACTTGATCACAACACATCCACCAATTTTTTCACAACTATATGATTTTTGGATTTTACTCTGATAATGTTTTTATTTGAAATAATTTTGAATGATTGGAAAAAGGATAATTGGTGTTTCTGGTTGAATTAAAACTGAAATT